GCGTCCTTAAAAAATCTTAACGTAAATACTGCGGCAAAAAGAGCGACACGTCTCTACAGCACCAGGCCTCGGCCGGCAGTACAGGCGTTTACGCAAACATCCGTACGTATTATTTCAGAAATAAGAATATGCGTGTGGCGTCGCTGTCGTCGCGCCACGAGCGAAATACACCGAAGCCTAAATCACGCTATCAACATTCCGAATCATAAACAGTATATATAGAACATCTCCGAACTATCACATGGAGTGTTGGCCGCTCCCCGGGCAAAACACCTTGCCCGGCAGGAGATCTCCCCTTTTCCTTCCACGGCCACAATGCAATAAAAAAAAACTATTAGATGGACTAAAAAATTAAAACACTATAACGTTAATATGTTGAATGTATAAAAATCTGACAAAAAATCAGAATGATTGCTCGTATACTACTAGTGTGCTTTTTACTAGTTAAAAGAAATTTTTAGAGGTATGTTTGTGATTTTTTTTTCTATCGTATTAAATTAGTGGTATCATGTTTTCAACACACTATCTAACTAGTATATATCCTGGAAAATATCATATATATTTCTGGGTTTGTTTACTGCAGTGGATCATATACTTTGAGGCATTATAAAACTTGCGTTTAGGGTTATGCCTCGTCTTACGTCTTAAGACGTAATTAGGGTCATGCCTCGTCTTACGTCTTAGCCCAAACTCGGCACACCTAGTAGTACTCGGGGACCAGTTCCAATAGCGATTAGCAAAGTACACCTTCAGGTCACTCCGTCAAGTCCGAAGGTAAGAACTCATCATACCTAACAAAACGAGCCCAAACTCGGCACACCTAGTAGTACTCAGCGACCAGTTCCAATAGCGATTACCAAAGTACACCTTCAGGTCACTCCCTTAAGTCTGGAGGTAAGGACTCATCATACCTAACAAAACGAGCCCAAACTCGGCACACCTAGTAGTACTCGGGGACCAGTTCCAATTAGCGATTACCAAAGTATACCTTCAGGTCACTCCGTCAAGTCCGAAGGTAAGAATTCATCATACCTAACAAAACGAGCCCAAACTCGGTACACCTAGTAGTACTCGGCGACCATTTCCAATAGCGATTACCAAAGTACACCTTCAGGTCACTCCGTTAAGTCCGGAGGTAAGGACTCATCATACCTAACAAAACGAGCCCAAACTCGGCACACCTAGTAGTACTCGGGGACCAGATCCAATTAGCGATTACCAAAGTATACCTTCAGGTCACTCCGTCAAGTCCGAAGGTAAGGGCATTCGTCATACCTAACAAAACGAGCCCAAACTCGGCACACCTAGTAGTACTCGGGCGACCTGTTCCAACGCCGATTACCAAAGTATACCTCCAGGTCACTCCGTCAAGTCCGAAGGTAAGGGCTCGTCATACCTAACAAAACGAGCCCAAACTCGGCACACCTAGTAGTACTCGGCGACCTGTTCCAATGCCGATTACCAAAGTACACCTTCAGGTCACTCCGTCGAGTCCGGAGGTAAGGGCTCGTCATACCTAACAAAACGAGCCCAAACCTGGCACACCTAGAAGTACTCGGCGACCTGTTCCAATACCGATTACAAAAGTACACCTTTAGGTCACTCCATCAAGTCCGGAGGTAAGGTAATAGAAAACAGTAAAATAAATTTGAATTTTCTAATGGTTTTATTTGAAACTATTCTTTTTCTCTTATTTTAGCTATTTTGCCAACGAAACTTGGGTTTTTTTTAGAATTTATGAGTTGGCGTTTTAAATGTTTATGTATGTAAATAATAAATAATAATCTAAGTACCTGCTCATATCATAAAACTGAATTTAAAAAAATATTGATAATTAAAATGTAGTATGATGTCCAGACTGCCGATATTGTAAACAGTTTTGATATTAGTGAGTAGGTACACAAAATATTATTACTATAATACCTAGTAGTGATGCGAACAGTAGACCTCACGGGAAAGTGTTTGTTTGGAGGTGAATTGTCTGCTTGCTTTGCGCAACTATGTTCACGCGGCGGTCTCCGACAGCCGGTTGCGCTCCGCCCACTGCGGGACGCGCGGGTGAAAAACGAATTTGAAATCGTGCTAAATAAAAATTTAATATATCAAAAAGTTAATCTGTTTATCTACATGTTCAATCACTTTCACTCATTGGCATGACACCTTCTATATAATTTCCTGATGGTATACCAGAACTTGGACCAGGAGTTGCGATTTCATCTTCAATGTCAGTTGATGGAATCCAATTCAGAATCACTGCTGTCAGAATCTCCAACCCGTACTATAAATTCTTCCGTCATTTTATCGATGACATGGTCGCTTTTGAGATAAGCTTCTTCGATTGTTATAACTTTGTCGCATAGCTTTTCCCAATCACATGGTCCCATTGCATTTACCTTTTCGTTCACTAACTCTATAACACGGGGCACATTCCATCGTACATTTTTGCTACTTACATAACCCTTTACAGCTGCCCATACCGCGCCATGCCATGAGGCAGGCGAAGTACGTCATGACCATGTTCTTTAAAAATCTTGTCTATACTAAATGTTTTGAAGCGATCTTTGTTATTTTTTATAAATCGGTATAATTGAGGCTTCAACATTTCAGACTTAAATGTTATTCCTTTTTCTGAAAGCCAAGCCTGCATATCAGCTTTCCTTGAATTAGCGTTTGGTGCTAAGTCATATTCCTTATTATGGTATGATGCACATTGTCTGCAACTATAATTGAATTTGTGGGAAGATTCGGTATCAATTGAGTTCGAATCCACTTCTTATAATTCTCAAAATTCATATCGTCGTGATAGTCCCCGGACTTCATACCTGACTTGAACGTTAACAAGGCGTTAGGCACAAAACCAGTCTCCGATCCGGCATGAACTATCACAACACGTTGCCCTTTTGATAAGGGTGTTTTATTCCTTTATTTGACCCATCTGTCCAACCTTTCGGTGTGGTGTGAGTAGCGTGAACATATGACTCATCTGTGTATACAATTGGTATGTTTTGTTGTCGATACTGTCTTAATTTTTCTAAGTAATTTATTCTTAACAATCTGATGGCTGATGTTTCTATTAAAACTTTCCTATTATTCTCGGTGGCTTTCCATTTAAATCCAAGTTCCTTAATAATGCGACGAAGACTTTTTTCAGAACCTTCAAATTTTATATCGGCACGTAATTTTGCACGAAGTATGCCAAGGGTCGGTAATTCGTTTTCAGTTAAATGAAAATTGTGAATACATCGTTTTATTACCCCCCTTGTCAAAATTGTCTACGCCTGTGACTGGCTTTATTCGTTGCCTCTTTTTACCAGGGGTCCTAAAAGTAACTACAAACTCTGAACTTTTACTTTCTTTAACAATCACTGATAAGACTTTTTCGTACTTCCGCAGTTTATTCAGAGAATCAGTTATATTATTTTCTTTTAAAAAATAATTTTCAAACATCAAATATCATTCTTCTCCCCTGTCTCCTTAAAGTTGGTTGTGGTCGTCATTTTTTTTAAATTAAATTAAATGATCACGCAATCGACAGAATTATAAATGTCAAAGAGTTGAAAACTTCGTACGCGATTGTACTCCAGGGCCGCGCGGTGAGTGCGCGGGTAGCGTGGGACAGAGTGCGACTGAGTGGGGTCTAGCGCCGCCACCACAGAGTACTTTGTATATACGCCGCCACGATGCTATGGTTACGCGCGGCCCCTCGCGGCGCACCTCATACCGCACTTCGATTGAGACCCGAAAATGTGTTACTGCGCATACAAGGTCATAGTTCAACTTACGTGCCGCGTATTATAATTGAAAGCAGTAATGCTGCTTAAAGCGCATGGGTCTAGAGCAGACCTTACCAAAACTCTTTTCCTCAATGTAGCAAATATTAGCACATTCAAAGAATACAGTTCAGCGGAGACCTTAAAAATGCTAACAATGGTGATAACTGAACATTCGAGTTTAAAAGTGAAACAATATTTAATAAGGTAATAAACATTGATTTATTCCAAAAATTATATTAACAAACCATATTGACAAATATAGTACAATTTTTGCACAATAAAATTATAATAATAAATTTACAAGTAATTTACACAAGAACGTAAACATTGGGTAACATTTACTTCTAATCTTATCAACAAAAAATTAAATAAATAACTATTGAATGCAGATCAAAATCTCCTTTATTCGACATTTGGCACAATTTTTATTCTAGAGGCCGAATCTCTACAAATTTCTAAAAAAATAACATGAGCATTTATTTATTATGCTAAGTTAAAATGTTTATTATTTTGTATATTGCTACACACTAAAGATTAAAAGTAACTGGCACATAATTCGTTTAAAACATAACAGACATTAACAGAGCTCAGATTTTGAAACACTGACAGTTTTTTTTTAATTAAACTTTTAATAATGATTATGATTCGATAAATCTCTTATTAAAATAAAATGATTGAATTATTTTAATACATCGTATTAAATTAGATCCAAGAGCTATAAAACGAGTAGTAATGTACAACTAAAAATAAAAAAATTACGAAAATACGATAGGTTTAACTTTTGAGTGAATGGCATTAATAACAGTCAATAATATCACACAAACATTTAATTGAAAGCCTATTTAAATAAACGATAATGGAAAGACAGTTGAATGGTAATTGCCAGCTTATTTACAATACTTGCTACACTCGAATATAAACATTAAAAATATACAAATATAATGCCTCTATTATTTACAAAACTTGATATTATGAACAATTTGTTCTTCATTGAAGAGACTAGGCACACTAAGCATGACACTAAACACTAAAAATATCTAAAAATTCGTTATCAATTTATATATAGCTACGAACATTCTACTCCGATAATATTCGTACAAAAATAAAAACATTCGTTGAACACAAAACGTAATGCTAAGTAGCTCTATACAGGACGGGGCTTAATATCACTTTGTTTAAATTCTACATATTTCTACTTATTTGTCTTTGATATTCACTTTATAGAGACTATAGTTCTGTAGTGGTCTCAACGGGTGATTGGTTATAATTGAAGCCGGTGAAATTTCTCTTACCGAATGTCACGTTATCATTTTCGGAAGCTCTGAAAAAAAATTACAATGTACATAAATGAAACATAAAAAAATGTTTAGTCCTTGAACTAATTATGATGTCTGTTACTTTGTAATGTTAAAGTAGTGCTTCAGTGGTTCTGTAATACAGTGGGAGGAGTGTCCCGTATATTGGCCTCCGTAGCCGAGGCAAATTAATTAGTGTTAAGTAGAGGAGTCGAGGATGAATGTGATAATACTATGATATTTACAATCTGTCTTCTCTAATCACTATAATCAAGGACTTTTAAAATCAAGAGTGGACAGGCATTTCTTCGGCCAACGATTCGCATCTGGGATCCTGTTAATACTTTATATGAGGTTGGATCATTGCCTTATTTGAAAAAAAAGGGAAGAGTTCTGGTAAAAAAGAAGACCTCTGCGGCCTAAAATAGTTGATGACAGGGCCATAAACTAGATTCATTTCAGGGGCCGGGAAGGCTGGTGTATTTTGCTTTCGCTTTTGCTATTGCTTTTGCATTACTCTTTCTGTGGAGATTGTGTATAAAAGTACGCGGTGTGTTTCTAGCAAGCCATGTATTTCTAACAAGCCTGGTACAGAAGAAATGAGGAAATTTTTTCTCTAGCTTTGAGAAGGGGCCACCAATGGGATGTCAACGCAGGCTGCCGATATGCCCTGAAGGAGAAAATCATGTGATTTTAGTGTAAATAATTTAGTAGAAATCACACCAAGTTTCTGTTCACTTAGTAGGTACATTTTAATAATTATAACAACATCTAGCGCAATATCACCAGCTACCATCCGGTGAGAATTGGGATCGTAATGAACTACTAATTTTATCCTTTTCTTACACCACAGTGTGGTAGTGCCACACTCACTTGTAATGTATATTATATGTAACTAATCGAAAATGGTGCTAACGATTGGAAGAAATTTTGTATTTAGATAATGTTAATTTAAGCTGTTGTAGCTTAGAGGCTAAGCGCTCGCTGTAAAGTTACACAGTACGCGAGCAACCCGGGTTCGATCCCCGCCAGCACCAATGTTTGATGATTTTTTTTATAAAAATCATATTAACAATGTTATAAACATTACTAATATTCCCCTCTACCACTCGTGGTAAGCTTAAATTGCTTGTGTTACGAGTGGTTCACGCCAGTAGTCGAATGGCGGATTCGAACCCACGACCTTTTTGAGTTCGCGGTCCACGCCCCGCCATTAGGCTACTGTCGCTTCAATTTGTTTGAATTGTTAATTTCAATTTTAAATGCTGATTTACCATGTGATCGGCGGTGAAGGAAAACATCGTGAGAAAACCTGCATGTTTGAGAAATAAGAAAAAAATATTTCGAAGACATTTTAAGTTTGCCAACACGCATTGGGGCAGCGCTGCGGACATTTCCCTGCCCTAAACCCCTCTCGGAAATGAGAAGAGGCCTGTGCCCAGCAGTGGGTCGTACATAGGCTGTAACTTTAACGTTTTACTTTCCAAGTTTATCCAGGGAGTTTTCATCTTTTGAAAACTAAAACAAAGCAAGATTTTACAATGTACTCCCAGCTCCAAGCCTATTGTATTATAAATAATAAATTAAGAGTCCAATACAAGAGGCAAATTGAAAGCTAGAAAATTAACAAATTAATACTATTATAGACATGTAATTTATTAGAAATACAATGCCTCTTTCATGACATAAAATCAAACGCCCTACCTAAATACACACTAGACAAAAGGCACTGCATGAATTATTCTGATCTAATTTTGTGCGATATGAATATAATTTACAATACGTTATAACATTTCAAAATCTGTGTCAATTTTTATCTCGATAGTTCTAAGCTTTGAAATTAATTTTCTATTAAAAAACATTATTCTTAAAAGTACATGCAATATTTTTATTTTAAGAAATGAAATATGTACATTAACCGCCCTCCTTATTATGCTATTATAACGTCAGGTAAAATGTACATTAATTTATATTATTAACGTAAAAAGGTTTCACCAACCTTTGTAACCATTTCATAATTTTGTATCAAATGAAATCATTCATTGTGAAATGGACGCGTATAAGAATCCATCACCGTCGACTATGGCAAATGCTGGAAGAATTTCATAACTTCTTATCTTGCTTGATTTAAAAACACCAAGCAACCTCTGGTACACTGTTTAGCAATTCGCCTGCCTAATCGATAAAAGTAAAAGCTACGGTAGATAGATGAGTATAACCGATCTCCGTACCGATTCAAATATGAAATATATCAGCTTCTGTGCTGCTGAAGAAGTAGATTGGCAACACTGTCATGAATCTCATTATCTCATTTAAAGAACTCTTACCTTTGCAATCCAGGAATCTCATCATACGCCATAATAGGGTGCGTTGCTTTTTTCTTGTGATTCCCGGTGTTTATTTTTCTGCCCAAAGTTGAGGCGAATAGCCCGCTACTAACACCATTGTTCGTCCGCGGCAGTGTTCCCAGCGCGTTGTTCAATGCGTGCGTGTTCGTAGTGCGACGGTTCAACGTTTGTGTGTTGCGAGCAATGGTTCCATTGTCGAACGATTGGTTGTTGTTCATAGAGGCGCCGTTCTCGTTGACACTCGAGGCTCTCGCGGTTGTAGCTGTTTCCGACAGAGTCGGGCTTCGTTCCCCTAGTTTAAAAATTTCGACTTAAAAGACTAGTTCGATAAGGTCATACTAGACACATCTTCAAATCATAATTTTTAGAATTATAATGTCAAGAAGTATAACACAGAAGACTGGTCTTAATAAATATTTATGTAAAGTAGAAGCCAAAGAATATTTTGTAAAAATGGACAGCTCATTTCTAAAGGAAATTTCCTAATAATGAAAAAGAAGTTAAATGGGACGTACTTTTAAAGATAAAGAAATCTCACAGACATTTTTAGTATTGATCAAAGGAATCCAGAAACATTCAGTACGTATTTATCTACTTATTTAATCGCCAAGTCCAAGTAAAAATCCCAGCCAGAAGTGATTTTTGGCGCTATAACAGCTTGTCGTATTTATGAGGACCTATTAATGTTTTTGCAGTATGCATATTACGCAGAATCGGAAAAACAGGGAAAGTCCCTGTTTCTTGTCCCTGAAGTAGCTTACAATCCTACTCTAATCTAACCTTATCAGCACCAAATTCGAGAAAATAGAAACATATCAGTGTTTGTTTATTAGCTAAAACACTTGCTGTATTGTAACTAACGTTCAAAACTGTTTTATTTATACAAATAATGGCGTAATTATTAATTAAATAATAATATTTTTATTTATATTATTAATTAAATATAAATAAAAATATTTATTAATTAAATAAATAAAACACTTTGAAAGATAAGATGAAATGCCTTGTTATCAATAAAATGGGTCTTCGGTACCACACTACGAATATAAGAAATACAGCAGCAATAAGGTGCTATTTTACGATGATTTCTGTGTGAACGTAGTCCTCCTTAGGTCGAACGACCCATTCATATTGCATTCGTAGGACAACTGAAGCGTGACTATATCACGTATATAACTATGAGTAATCGAGAAATGGCCTCCCCGTTTCTAGCTAAATTCACAGCGGACTATTATAGGCTGTGAAGTCAGCTCGAGAATCATTAAAAACCCAGAAGTGCTGTACTATGGTTTAATAAATTTTACATGCATCTAAAATTTGTATTATCTTACCGTTATCTTTAGACAAATACTGAACATTGTGTATGTTAAACGCATGGTTGTTGGGACTAAAGTCTAGCTGCAGATCCGCGTCGTCAACAGCCATATTCAAAACCTGTAACAAAAACTTTCGTTATAAAGAAATAGTCAGCATTATAATATTATGTGTATATCTTCTGATTATTACATTTAAAACTTCTCGTTCAAGCAAATTTTAATCGACAACATCTAATGTTGATCACACGTTTTGGGTTCACAGATTTATGTTAAACTTCGTTTTGTTGCTGTGAAATTTAGTTAGCGAAGTTGTATTTAGTAATCCAAGTGTTTTAGTGGTGGCCACCAACAGTTTAGTGCATTCTAAACTAGATAATCCGCACCTTTTTATTTTTCACAAGGATTTAATAAGTATTATTTCGATTAGTATACATACTAATATACTAATATACATACTAATATATTATAGTTATCGCGCTATTAACATTCCGAATCATAGAAAGTATATATAGAACTTCTCCGAACTATCACTCGGAGTGTGAGCCGCTCCCCGGGCAGAACACCTTGCCCGGCGGGAGATCTCCCCTTTTCCTTCCACGGCCACAGTGGTGACCCCGACGTGATCTGAACACGCAACCCAACAACCTTCGGAAACTTCAAGCCTCATCAACGTCATAGAATACCCCACCCATTCGCTCCCGAACAGATATCGTCTGCAGTCTTCATATCCTGCAAGCCATCTAGCTTCACAAGGTTCATCGCAGCACTGGAATAATAATGCTTCCTGTTCCTTCAAGCTACTCTCTGCGCTACACAGTGTTCGGCACGGCTCTGAGCCTTACTGCTCGCCTCTGCTTCACGGCACTCTCGCAGATTACTTGCCTTCTTCTCGACTCACCGCAGACTACAAGGCAATCTCCTGGCACATTCGTCGGCAACGAGGCTGCACTATCGACCTCCGGTCTGAGCAGGGGGGTGATGTAGCGGCGCTGTCGTCGCGCCACTAGCACACCGAAACACACCGAAGCCTAAATCGTGCTATCAACATTCCGAATCATAGACAGTATATATAGAACTTCTCCGAACTATCACTCGGAGTGTGAGCCGCTCCCCGGGCAGAACACCTTGCGCGGCGGGAGATCTCCCCTTTTCCTTCCACGGCCACATTAGTATACATACTAATCTATAATTTAAAAATAAAACATCTCGTGCCATGTTCTATGCAACACTCCATTACGATATTAAAAATATATTATTTCATACATGTGCCATAATATTATTGACTATTGTCAAATTGATTTTAAAGAGTTTAAACTCACCTGTGTTTCATATCTCGGTGCAGGTTCGTCTTCGCTCGACTCGTAGCCCGATGGCGGCCGTGGTGGAGGCATGCTCATGCTTAATGTTCCGTACTGCTGCATCGCTTGCTCTTTATGCTTCTTATACCTTGGAGGAAATATGCTTTTATTTATTAAATATTACGAATCATACTATGTATTTGTCGCTAGTGTTAACATTAATATTACATTCACACCTAGTGTTAAGCATTCTCGGTTTAAAAAATGTACTATGTGTCAAAAACAATGTTAACGACGGTACTCCTCAACAACTAAAATAACCCATCTATGGTGAATGCGTGTACGATTTCTAATTATACCAAGCAAATTGGTTGTTTAGGGAAGCCCGGCGACGGGCAACAGCGTCTAAGGTTCGAAACGTCTCGTACTGTGATCGTCGATTAAAGCAAATCCCTGAACGATACGGACATACAGCGTACAGGTACACTCCTTATCTTTATATGGGAGAATATTACAACATTTTCTCCAACTGCCAATCGCACCTGCGCGCGTTGTTTCACACTGAATAATCTACAAAGCTCCACGGTCCAAATGACGACACCAAATATTCTTTAAAAATTTCACACACCATTTCTTAATCATATTGTAGAAGATAATATCGGTTACTATATACATCCAGTGTACAGTATAGCTAAAGTGTAGCTATTATAGCTACACTTTAGCTATACTGTCTTTCAGACTGAATTTCGGTCACGACGGCCAATCTTAACAGAAAAAAACTATCTGCGTAATATTGGATTATAATGCATAAGTGTGTGTGCAAGCATTTTTCTCTCCCATTCACTTGGTTCTATGTGATGGTCCAACAGACCAATGGCATTGCGTGTTTACCTCCGATCTGCTACTAAGAACTCCTTGACAAACCCAAAAAGTGATTTTAGTCCCGACCTGAGACTCAAACTTGGGACCACATGATCAGCAGTCGCGTTTACGACCACTAGACTTAGATATCGTTGCAATAAAAAACAGCTTTAAAATTATGAGAAAAGCGTGTTCATCCATTCCACGATGCACGTATACGTTGGCGGCGCGGCGACCAGCACGAGCGTGGCAGCTGATCCACTCGTGCTGCAGCTATAACAGCTGCAGCGTGGCCAACCAAGTATAAAATTGTTGGCGATGTAATGAGGCGTGCAGCTGACCTTTTTTTTAAGGGTGACAAACGAGCCCACAGTCCACCTGATAGTAAGTGGATGCTATGGCCCATAGACATCTACATTTATTCAAGAATAAGAATCAAAACGCATATTCGTTGTCACCACTGAGGACTAGGACTAAGATGGAATGCCTCGTTTCCATAAAAAAGGGTCTCCGGAACTCTACATTCACCATACGAAACACAGCAGTATTAAGTTGCTATCTTACGCTGGTAATATGGTTAGAGCGTGGTCTGACCCCGGTCGAGTCGACCCATTCGTGCTACAACCATAACATAGCTGCAGCGTGGCTCTACTACGTATAAAAATTTAAACTGTTACAGGAGTCGCAAATACATATGTTGGCGGCCACCAGCATGAGCGCAGCGGCCGATCCATCCGTACTGAAACCAGAAAACATGCGAGGGTAGACGCCGGCCGCCGTGGCCAGCAAACAGGTCGGTGCAAAAAGAATGCAGCTGACCTGTTCCAGGAGGCGCAGATATATATGGTGGGGGCGGAGGTGGCAACGAGCACGAGCGCGGCGAGCGCCAGCAGCGCGGCGGGCAGAGCGCCGGCCAGCGACACCGTGGCCAGCGACACCGCGGCCAGCAGCGGTCGCGCGATGCAAAAAGACATGCAGCTTACCTGTTCCAGGAGGCGCAGATATATATGGTGGGGGCGGAGGTGGCGACGAGCACGAGCGCGGCGAGCGCCAGCAGCGCGGCGGGCAGAGCGCCGGCCAGCGACACCGTGGCCAGCGACACCGCGGCCAGCAGCGGTCGCGCGATGCAAAAAGACATGCAGCTTACCCGTTCCAGGAGGCGCAGATATTTATGGTGGGGGGGGAGGTGGCGACGAGCACGAGCGCGGCGAGCGCCAGCAGCGCGGCGGGCAGAGCGCCGGCCAGCGACACCGTGGCCAGCGACACCGCGGCCAGCAGCGGTCGCGCGATGCAAAAAGACATGCAGCTTACCCGTTCCAGGAGGCGCAGATATTTATGGTGGGGGGGAGGTGGCGACGAGCACGAGCGCGGCGAGCGCCAGCAGCGCGGCGGGCAGAGCGCCGGCCAGCGACATCGCGGCCAGCGACACCGCGGCCAGCAGCGGTCGCGCGATGCAAAAAGACATGCAGCTTACCTGTTCCAGGAGGCGCAGAATATATGGTGGGGGCGGAGGTGGCGACGAGCACGAGCGCGGCGAGCGCCAGCAGCGCGGCGGGCAGAGCGCCGGCCAGCGACACCGTGGCCAGCGACACCGCGGCCAGCAGCGGTCGCGCGATGCAAAAAGACATGCAGCTTACCTGTTCCAGGAGGCGCAGATATATATGGTGGGGGCGGAGGTGGCGACGAGCACGAGCGCGGCGAGCGCCAGCAGCGCGGCGGGCAGAGCGCCGGCCAGCGACACCGTGGCCAGCGACACCGCGGCCAGCAGCGGTCGCGCGATGCAAAAAGACATGCAGCTTACCTGTTCCAGGAGGCGCAGATATATATGGTGGGGGCGGAGGTGGCGACGAGCACGAGCGCGGCGAGCGCCAGCAGCGCGGCGGGCAGAGCGCCGGCCAGCGACACCGTGGCCAGCGACACCGCGGCCAGCAGCGGTCGCGCGATGCAAAAAGACATGCAGCTTACCCGTTCCAGGAGGCGCAGATATTTATGGTGGGGGGGAGGTGGCGACGAGCACGAGCGCGGCGAGCGCCAGCAGCGCGGCGGGCAGAGCGCCGGCCAGCGACATCGCGGCCAGCGACACCGCGGCCAGCAGCGGTCGCGCGATGCAAAAAGACATGCAGCTTACCTGTTCCAGGAGGCGCAGATATATATGGTGGGGGCGGAGGTGGCGACGAGCACGAGCGCGGCGAGCGCCAGCAGCACGGCGGGCAGAGCGCCGGCCAGCGACATCGCGGCCACCGACACCGCGGCCAGCAGCGGTCGCGCGATGCAAAAAGACATGCAGCTTACCAGTTCCAGGAGGCGCAGATGTATATGGTGGCGGCGGAAGCGGCGACGAGCACGAGCGCGGCGAGCGCCAGCAGCGCTGCGGGCAGAGCGCCGGCCAGCGACACCGTGGCCAGCGACACCGCGGCCAGCAGCGGTCGCGCGATGCAAAAAGACATGCAGCTTACCTGTTCCAGGAGGCGCAGATATATATGGTGGGGGCGGAGGTGGCGACGAGCACGAGCGCGGCGAGCGCCAGCAGCGCGGCGGGCAGAGCGCCGGCCAGCGACATCGCAGCCAGCGACACCGCGGCCAGCAGCGGTCGCGCGATGCAAAAAAGACATGCAGCTTACCTTTTCCAGGAGGCGCAGATATATATGGTGGGGGCGGAGGTGGCGACGAGCACGAGCGCGGCGAGCGCCAGCAGCGCGGCGGGCAGAGCGCCGGCCAGCGACATCGCGGCCAGCGACACCGCGGCCAGCAGCGGTCGCGCGATGCAAAAAGACATGCAGCTTACCCGTTCCAGGAGGCGCAGATATATATGGTGGGGGCGGAGGTGGCGACGAGCACGAGCGCGGCGAGCGCCAGCAGCGCGGCGGGCAGAGCGCCGGCCAGCGACATCGCGGCCAGTTGCGACACCGCGCCCGGGTCGCGCGATGCAACAAGACATGCAGCTTACCTGTTCCAGGAGGCGCAGATGTATATGGTGGCGGCGGAAGCGGCGACTAGCACGAGCGCGGCGAGCGCCAGCAGCGCGGCGGGCAGAGCGCCGGCCAGCGGCGCCGCGGCCAGCTGCGGTCGGCGCACCGTGCTACCGCCCGCAAGCGGCGCGCGAGCCGCGCCCACCGCCGCTTGAAGCCGCGCACTCACCGCCGCCTGCAGCCCGCCCTCTATCGCCCTGGTAACAATCAAACAAACAAACATTATTCATTGGCCAAATACAAGTGTACACATACGTATATTCAATTCACGAATAAACAAATATAAAATTGAAATAACTTCGAAAAACTTTTTTATAAGTTTTATAACACAATGAACAAAACTATTAATACGGATTTAATCGCGTTTAATTATTTATTAATTCCCGACGTTTCGGGTGCTTTACCGCACCCAAGTCACGGGGGACAGACCCCCGTGACCATAGATGCTAAACGCGATAAAATCCGTATAAATAGTTTTATTCAATGTGTAGTAACAACATACATTATCTATCATCTACATCCAAAATATAATTACAATATAATCAGTCAATAGCTAAAGTATCAATGAATTTGTTACGATAAGTGATGACCGTGAAATTGATTGCACGCGGCGAATAGGACGAGATTAATCAGCGTTTTTTTATAGGAGAGGGGGCAAACGGGTATACGGTTCACCTGATGTTAAGTGACTACCACAGCCTATGAACAACTACAACACCAGTGGAATTGCAAGTACGTTGCCGGCCTTCTAGAAAAGAGTAAGCTCTTTTCTTAAAGGTACCTAGGTCGTATCGGTCCGGAAAAATCGCCGGTGGTAAAGTATTCCACTGAGAGGTCGAACGCGGAACAAAGATCTTAGTGAAAAGTACAGTGGTGGACCACCAAGCATCCATGGCGTAAATGGTATCGGGAGGTTTGCCGCGTAGTGCGTTCACGAAATTTGGCGGCTGGGATTAATAAAAATACACCAATCTTGATCTGTCTCCACTCTTCTCTCTTCAGGGATTCTCCAGGGGTGCTGGTACCCTCCTGGGGTAGTCTAACATTTACATTTACATTAATGTTGGTGGGAGTGGGGGGGGGGGAATTGGGCTTCTGGCCACCTGCACTCACCAGAAGAAACGCGGAAGCAGAGCTTACACTTCACGCCGGTATTCTGTGAGGTACCACCCCGGCTCGAGCCGAACATGAGCCTCCCCGATAGATCTCCGCATTGTGGCATAGTTGTCATAATTATCTCGCTAGGCAGGTGGGTTGGCCCACCACGTTTCATTTTCCTCTGTCGCTTCTTATAACGCCAACGGGATGGAGAAGTGGATAATAAACAATATATAAATAACAATATCCTAATACATGTATATCTAAAATAAAAATCAACTACCTAAAGGATTAATAAACGTCAAAACTTACTTTTTAACAGCTTCAGACTCTCTGGTTAATATCTCCCCCGTATTAGGATCAACCAAGTACAACCAGATGTCTGTTCCCTTGGGATCACTTTCCAATGTGCCATTCTCTCCTAGATAATGTCTCGCAGTCAGCTTCTCCAAGCCGGCAACAAGACCACTCTTCTCCTCTATGGCTGCAAGTAAGCTACGCGCACGTCGCCGTAAAGCCTCAGCGTTTAGATCTGCTACTTCAACCACTAACTGATTGTCCTTTTGTAGAAGATTTATCTGAAATCAAGACAAACTTTAAATAAAACCAAAACCATGTAATAAATAACGAAGACTATTTAGCATGATCGCAAATGTGTGTTTTGTACGTGGAAGAGAAATGCTACTGCTATAATTTGGCTGCAGCACGAATGGATCGGATCGACCACGCTCTCACAGAATATCAGCGTAAAATATCAGCTCAATGCCGTATGTATGGTGAGTGTAGAGAACCGGAGACTCTTTTAACTGATAACGAGGTATTCTATCTTAGCCCACAGTGGTGACAACGCCAGTATTCATTTTTTTACATCCAAAGTACCCATATTTGTCCGTGAAACTAAAAATATTTACGAGTAATTATGACGTTTCATCACATATCAGGACAGGGTATAATTTTGCGTGTTCCGAAACCCTCTAAGAAATAAGAAATTCCCTTACACATCAGTGGGACATATTATGTAGGCTGTTTTAGTTTTAGGAATGTTTAGATTACTTACATTTTATAAGGTGTCTGACATCTTTTATTTAAGATTATCATGTCGAAAACATCTATAATTTACGCATAAATATAAAAATAGGCTCTATGTATAAAGTACATACCACAACAGACGCTCTGGCAACATTATAATCTTGTGACGAGTTAGGGTTGTCTCTTGCTGTCACCATAAATTTAAAAGGTAGCACTTCCTGAGGAACGTTCTCGAAAGTCTTAATATTCGTGATGACACCAGTATCCGGGTCTAAGCTGAAGTATTCTTCGGCGGCTTTAGTCCATGAATTCTTTTGGTATTCGATTTTGCCGTAATCACCGCTGTCTTTATCTTTAGCCTATATAGGATAAAAGTTGAATAGTTACATATTTATTAAAATTAACTGTTCAAGTTGCTCTCTTTCTTTCTCTCTCTCTCTCTTTCCTTCTCTCTCTCTCTCTCTCTCTATCTTTCCCTCTCTCTCTTTCTTTCTCGTCACTAAATGACAATATAAAGGTTTCTTTAGGTTTCATGTATAGACAAAAAAAACTAAGGATACGTAAGCGGTAACAAACTATTATAAGTAAGGCCTCATAATGTTAGCAGATCATACAAAATAAATGCACCGAGCGGAAATCCAAGCCGGCGGAACTAAATAAAGCGTCGTAAATATTGTAGGACTTGCGCAAAATAGTTCGTCTAGTTGTAGGAGAAGATTTAAGATACTATTATATAATGCACAGAAGGAGAATATCAAACTGAGTTTTATTTTTTTCTAAACAGAGTCATTTTATCAATTATTATGCGCGAACTGGAGTGTAAATAGATATTTTGATATCTTGATTGATATATTATAGAAAAGTAAGCCGAGTGATACGTATTCAAAAGTAGGAAATTTATTAAGTTTATTTTTGTTTCTGCTGGTATGCTGGATTGTAAAAGCTTTTATTGTTACTTGGTTATATTAATCTATTAATTTTATCGGTAAAACAATATTTTCTTAACAGCAATATGGTATACCGATAAAATTAAAAACGATACTTTCGCTTAACACCATTATTAATAACTTTACTTTTATTTCAATTAATAAATTACTTTTCATATAAAAATATCTTAAGCAAGTTTTTACCGAATTACCACACTTAATGTTAAAAAGTTAAAAATTTAAGTTTTGTTCCAATTAAGATGGCTAAGGCATATAAAAAGGCATTTTCAGGCAATTATTAGCCTTTGCCCGCGACTTCGCCCGCGTGGAGTAAGAAAAACAATAACACCGTGCATTTTACTGGGATAAAAAGTAGTCTATACCGTATTTCAGCCCGTAAAACCTCTTATAAAAATCATTTCGACCATTTGCTCCATTGCTGCGAAACAGACGGACAAACCAACAAAAAACTTTTGAATTTATAACATTAGTAAGAATTAACGCAACGCATTTTTCTGTGGTAATAGCTAGCTTTCATATAACTTTGTTCTTATGAGTTAAGTATACGAACTTTGTTCTTATTAATTTACAACTTACCTTCACTTGCAACACATTAGTTCCCAATAGCATTTCCTTGGTAGCTATAGCGAAATATTTCCCCTTAGCATTGGAAATGGTCGATTGTTCGGGGAAAACGAAAACTGGGGCGTTATCGTTCGCATCGGTCACGTGGACTTTAATAACAGCTTTACTGGCTTCCGGGTTTATCAGGCCCTGTATCGACTCTAATTGGACTTCCAATGAATATTCCGCAAGGGTTTCGTAGTCTAAGGAACTTGTGTTGAGATATATAGCGCAATCTCTTTCATCGGTTAGCTTTACGTAAAACACACCTGAAATTAAAAATTATTATATTAGTATTTAAAAAAGTTTGAGGAGAACATATAAAATAAGAATGGTCTATTAACACTCTTAGTTAGCGCGTAAATACTTAACAAAACCTGAAAGCAAGATGTATGTCTAAAAAGGTTGACAGTATAAAAGACAATTAGTGATAACTTGTAGAAAAACTAGTAAGTAGACGACGACTTTAGCACTAATGAGTGAACATTTTAATAGACATCCATTAATTACGAAGAAAATAAATTAATGCTCATTTTTACCTGCGTCAAACTAAATTAGTTTAGTATTAGGAAGCTAAATATATTATATTATTACGTACCTTTTTGTGACGAATCAGTCAACCGACACTTAAGCGGTGTGTCGGGAGAATGTTCTCTCTTATTCAACAGTGGTAGTATTCTCACTAGAGTGCCGTTTCTAGAATTTTCCGCCACGTGCTCGGTATAAAGCGTATCTGCAAAGCCAAGCCCAACCTGCGAAATAAAATTTTTGATGTTATGTATTTATAAAAATTATTGATTTGATTTGACAGCTTTTACTTTAAATAATTAATCTTTGTTACTCAAGGGAGGGTTTGGGAGTCGAAGAACGCAACATGAGAAGTGCTAATAAAATATCATGTAATATCACAGTTTAAAAACCATACAGTTGGGAAACGAGTGTACTTGTGCAGAGCAACGGTAGGTGCTATATGGAGCAGGTGGCCGTAGGTGCTAGCGTACTTCACTGAGTCTGCTAAATAACACATGCGATTGGCGTACTGTTCTAGTTAAATGAATTACTAAAGTTAAAATTAAAGTTATGGCCTATATACGTCCCACTGCTGGGCACAGGCCTCCCCTCATTTCTGAACGGGTTTTTGGACATGAAAGTGGCCGCCGCGTTGCCCCAATTTGTGTAGGCGAACTTCAAATGTCTTCGAAAATTTTTTTCTTATTTCTCAGAAATGCAGGTTTTCTCACGATATTTCCCTTCACTGCCGAACACTTAAAATTACAATTAACAATTTCATCGGTGCCGGCGGGAATCAAACCCGGTTTGCTCGCGTACTGTGAAATTTTACAGCGAGCGCTAACCATTTTAGCTACCACGGCTTCATGGCCATAAGGCATAACTCATAAGAGCTACTAAGTTAAATTGAATTCAAATGACGGTGATGCTTAGGTTTCCCCCATTTTTTTAATAAACTGTTACATACTTAATACATTATTAAATTTAAGAATCGAAAACTGAAAACATCTAAAAAAAAAGGAAGTATCACTAAAAAATTTGGTAGTGCAACACTTGTACTCGTAAATGTGTTTTTTCTTGTAGTAATAAAAATAATTTTGTTCAATAAATGTGTTTAACTTATAAGTATGTACATAATTTTAATAAGTGATAACGAGTAGGTATTATATTCAAAATTATTTTATTTCCATTTTCTTGGCAACCCCTAGCATACACACGCTGGCCGCGTAAAACGCAGGCGGCAGCATTGCCGGACATCAAAAGCGTTTCACAACTATTAGGTCCTAATTGGATTAAACTGTAGCAATATATTTTAAAGAGCGCATTACTGAACACGGCAAATTATACAACCGAGAGAATAAAGTATCACTTTAAAAACTTACGTCAGGGGGCACGGTAGCGGAGTGGCTCACGTAAATAGTTAAACTTAACACAGAAGACATCACCGGATCGCCTTGATCATAAGCTTGTACATCCACCTGTAATATATATTTACTTGATGTATTGTAGATAGATTTAAACGTGGTAGAGCCATGCTGCAGTTATATTAGTGGTATAGTTGTAGCACGAATGGGTCGGTTCGACCGGGGAAAGATCACACTCTCACAGAATACCAGCATGAAATATGAGTGTAAAGAACCGGAGACCATTTTTACTGGAAACGAGGCATTCCATCTTAGTCCTCACGGGTGACAACGCATCTGCATTTTGATTCGTAATCGAGGATAGATGTAGATGTCTATGGGCCACAGCAACCACTTACCATCAGGTGAGCTGTGTGCTCGTTTGTCACCTTATCCTATAAAAGAGAGAAAAACATAAGATAACAGTATATTAACAATGACAAACAAATACTTCCATAAAAAAAAAAAAATCATTAGTTTTACATAAGAAATGTAACTGGAAAAGATAGAGCATAAAAAATAAATTCAAAAATGACATTCAAATTACTTAAAGTAGGATCTACCAACGATATTTGCGAGAGAATGCATCTTAACTATTAATTATTTTAAATTAATTATATTTTAGATCCAATCTAACGCAACAGACAGTAAATTTACTTAACTTTATTTTTATAAGTATACAACAAAATTACACTGCCATAATTTCAGATAGATAATATAGAATAGATATGAAGTTACTTTATACGTAAGCAAACAGAAGTACGTGCTCTGTCTCTGACTACATTTTTAAAGTATGTATAATGCGATTACCTTGGAGATATTTACAGTAATAACACCGATTATAAAATCCAACTCAAAAACTAGTATTCAATCATTGAGCTATTATGTACTACGTACTAGAGGATACACTGCATTCAGCTGCTCTCTTCCACTCAACTGCGGTGCATGCAAATTAAACAAATTAAAAAAGCTTTAGCACTTACGGTATACTCGCTGTCGGTCTCCTTCCTCAAATCGTCACGCACGCGCACCGCTCCCGTGTCGGGCTCCACATGGAAGTAAATGGACGCCTTGCCCCTCCCCACAAGCTTGTACCGCACTTTGTTGTTAGGCGATGTAGCATCTGCGTCTAACGCAACCACTGTCTGTACCAAGTTTCCTATAGAGGAAGAATCCTCTACTGTTACGGGACGTATCGCCGACGTAAATATTGGTGCATTGTCATTTTTATCCTGAAAAAGTTATACTAAATACATACAAAAATGAATGCACACTATAATTTACACACATAAAATATAAATATAAGAAGAGTGTGGTTTGCAAGATGATGTTGTGACCAGAAAAAAGAAATGAGAAAAAAAGAGTGACAAAGAAAATTTATGTTGCAGAAGTGAATGGCAGAGTCGGAAAGGGACATCCTAGGCGAAAATTTATCGACCGAATTGGCGATTTATTGAAAACGGGCCAAATTAGAAGTACCCGACGAGCATGTATGCGTAGGTATATGAATATATATATTATCGTAGTACTCGTCACGTTTGGCGCGCTAAATTTTTCAGCACTCAATGTCTCATATTTGACGACTGTCCCCAGTTGATTTTTTTACATATAACATATATATATGGGATAGTGATAACAATAGTCACTTGAGAAAGATGATAATAAAATAATAATAAATTATCTTATATTAAAACTTAGTAACTTACATCAACTATAATCTCGACTGTAGTCGTTGCTCCGGGTTCGTCTTGGTTATTTTCCTCGGTGCCTACAATAATTTCATGCCGGGCGCTCGTCTCTCTATCCAACTGTCTCACAGTTCTTATCATTCCATTCTTTCGGTCTATAGAGAACAGCTCCATGTCTCCTTTGATTATAGTGTAGGTGATTTCTGGCATAGTATCTGGGTCTTCGGCCTGTAATTCATAAATAAAGTAAGAGTGAAGTTACAGCTTATATATGTCCCATTCAAAATTCTAATTTATTACATTTATTATAGTAAATGTATAATTTAGTTAAAGGAATATAGTAAGTCAGCTCAAATTCTAATTTCGCCCCCACTTCCCCGCGCGTCGTTTGCTATGTACCGACATGTTTGTAATCACTAATACTGTAAGTAGATAGGTCGTTAGATACTCATTTCATTAGGTTTATCATATTTATGCCTGTTTCTTAACGCCAACCCCGTCGCTTCTTATTTTTATTACGGTTATTTCCCATTTTAATTTTACGTCGTCCTGTTGCGTAATGTGTATTCTGATCGTAAGTGACACAACTTCGCCTTTCAAAAGCCGAAGCGAGACTAACCGGGAAGCAGGAAACAAGCTTCAAGACGCCGATAGTTTAGGTAATTTCTTTTTACGGTGAAAATAATGGTAATTAAAAAAAATATAAGCGTTGCTTTATAGTTAGTTCAGTTAGTATGTAAAGTTTCATGATCTAATTTAAAGTATTTTATGAATATCAGCGGTTTATTGTTCAGTTTGGAGGTAACGTTGGATTTTTTTTTCTATCGAGAAAATTTTATGGAATCGTGTTTTCGTCTAACATATTACTTAACATTAATCCTCAACTTTATCATATATTTATTTCAAAATTAATGCTGCAATATTTTCGGCATAACGGAGGGTCTTGCCAAGCCATTTGAGGTAGTATTTTTAATATTCACCCTTAAAAATCTACTTTGACGACTGACCGATTACAATAAGGGGTATAACTTTTTAATAAACATTATAGGGCCATGAATAACTTTCCAGCCCAAAGACACTCACTCACTCGCACTTATTTCTCGTTTTAGGTCAAATGAACAACCGATGCTGAGTTATTGATTGTAATCACAATACGTTTCTAACAGCCTCTATACTGTGCTTAGAGTCCCACCAGTAAGGTCTTCTTCCTGAGAGTTAATCGAGGCAGGCAACTGTCTCAGCTCAATGCATGTTGGAGGGCAGAAGATGAAATATGCAGATTTCCTCACGACATTTTCCTTTTCGATGAGTAGGAGGTAGGAGGTTAAATCATCACTTCAAATTGTGCGTATTAGCCATAGTTGCAAGGTAGGTTGACAACCACAGTTCATTATTTTTAGTTTTTGTTAGGAAGACGCTGCTGCCTATCTCAAGGTTTGTGTCTTTCTGTCGCCTCTTACGATACCCACGCGATGATGACGATATGTAATAGTGGACATTTTTACACCGCCACTACACAGTTTACTCGCTTATCGTAAAATTTTATGGCTGTGGCACACATTGTTTTTTTTATTCTTTTGACTTTAAATTTAATATAATCTTAAAAAATACGATTTATTTTAAAATTTTACGAAAATAAAGAATATTTTTTACTTTTCAATAGTCGTAATATATTTAGACAAACATTAAGTCAGTAAGTCAGTGAAATATACAATTTAACAGCGATACACTTACATGGACTTGGACCACGGGATAGTTATTGGCGTTTTCGGGAACGTGTACAGAATATAAAGGCTGTGCGAAGATTGGTGCTTCGTCGGGAACATCCTGCACTTGAACAGTCACTGAAGCAGTGCCCAGCCTCTTGTCAATAGCGCCATCTGTCGCCGTTACTACGAACGCGTAATGCTGAAAAAAAAAGAAAACCTCCGTCAAATTTTAAATATACAAACGTACGTAAACACACACACACACACACACACACACAGAAATTATTTAAAAAAAATCCTACAATCGTTTCCAACGGCTCCCAAAACGTTATGTTGAAATTAGGAATCCCAAAAATTTGATCAATGCCTCTGAGCCTCTTAAATACCATTCAATAAAATCAGCCAAGAAATCAAAGTTACCTTTATATCCTCATAGTCGAGTTCGGTGTTAGTGCTGATCATTCCCGTGGCGTTGTCTATGGAGAACGGTAAGTTGGAAGGCATGCTGTAGCTGACCACAGCGTTGACTCCTTCGTCATTATCAGTCGCGTGAACGTAGCCCACAACTTCACCAGATATACCTGCAAACGATAGGGTTGAGACATTACCACAATATCATAATAATATTTGTTTTTTTCGTGTTTTTTTTTGTTTATTGTGATCAAGGACTGACTTATATTAACTTCTTGTACAGTCCTTGACCACAATCCCACCTGGCGCCTATTCACTCTTGCAAGACGCCCAGATTGTATTCAAACGGAAAGATAGACGCCGGCAAATTATTCCACTCCAATATCTTTCTTCGCCGTTGAACAAAGTGACATACATCATATCACCTACCCTATACATTACTACAAAAATAGTGTATAATACATAAACCATAAAAGTAAAAAACCGGCCAAGAGCGTGTCGGGCCACGCTCAGTGTAGGGTTCCGTAGTTTCCCGTCCGTCACAATAAGTATTACCACTTATGAGTTTGTACAAAAACTGTTGTTTCCATCCAAGTTCAAAATGATTTTCCTAGAAAATCCTTATAAAGTTCTACTATTCAGATTTTTTTCATATTTTCTAAACTTATGGTTCAAAAGTTGGAGGGGGGGGGGGACACATTGTTTTTTACTTTTGGAGCGATTATTTTCGAAATTATTGACATTATCAAAAAATGATTTTAGTAAACCCCTATTCATTTTTAAATATCTTTCCAACAATATATCACACGTTATGGTTAAAATGAAAAAAAAAATCACTTCCCACTTTACATATAGGGGGGCTACCCTAATAAAACATTTTTTTCCAATTTTTATTTTACCACTTTGTCGGCGTGATCGATACACATATTAGTACCAAATTTCAGCTTTCTAGTGCTAACGGTCACATAGATTAAGCGAGGACGGACAGACGGACAGACAGACATGGCGAAACTATAAGGGTTCCTAGTTGACTACGGAACCCTAAAAAGATGAGATTATTTACACGTGGTAGAGACACGCTGCAGCTATATTATGGTTGTAGCATGAATGGGTCGGCTCGACCAGGGAAGAACCACACTCTCACAGAATACCAGCGATAAATAGCAGCTTAATGCTGCTGCAGCTGTGTTTCGTATGGTGAGTGTAGAGATCCGGAGACCCTTTTCTTTACTGGAAACTAGGCATTCCATCTTAGTCCTCAGGGGTGACAACGCATCTGCGTTTTGATTCTTAATGTCTATGGGCCACAGCTTCCACTTACCATCAGGTGCACTGTGTGCTCGTTTGTCATCCTTATTCTATAAAATGAGGTAATGTTAGACGTCAGCATCTATCCTAAATTTACTCAAAAATCGCTGAAATACAATCGCATGATAACCGCGCGCCACAATTTCAAGATATCTTATTTCGATTTTTTTTAAACTCCACTCACCTTCTTTGACTTGGAACTTGTACGAATCTTCATCAAACTTTGGGTTGTTGTCATTGATGTCCGTAACTTTAATATTGACTGTTACGGTGCTTGACAGTTTGCCTGGGTCTTCGGCTTTAACCATCTGTAATTAAGAGCAAATTTTGCTGTAATAAGTGCTCAATACAATTATTTTATAATTAGCCACTGGAGCGTCTCCTTAACTCGTCAAGCTATCAACTCTAGTCTCAGCCGAACATTGACTTATATATTACTAGCGTACGAATGTAATAAATATGCTTATCGAACCGTTTTAAAAATGTTAAATTTAAACAGATTCCAAAGATAAAATAAATGGCTTTTATAAAAATGGAAAATGTGTTTTATATTCGTTTATATTTTACTTTATATTTACAAATAATTATTTCAGACCCGGACTTGAAAAATCCTGTGGCATTCTGATTAGATAGATCTCTCAGATTTAATAATATATTTACTCTCACTAAATTAACAAGTAGTAAACAATGTACACTATGAGCTGAGAGTCTGGTGTACTAGGCGGAAGCCTGTGTTACGGATCACCAGAAGATTTCCAAAGTGTGTTATTATTATAGACCTCCACGATACAAGATAAAATCGTTGTATTGAATTATTTTAAGGTGTGCGTTCAAGGTAGTCTATGGGTAATGTTTGTATAGTATAGATAAGCTGCAGAACAAATGGATCGGCTCGACCAGGGAAAATCGACGATCGCCCAAAATACCATAAATTAGCAACACAATTCTCTAACATTCCTTATTATGAGCAAGGAACCGGAGCTTATTTTTACTATTAACGATGCACTCTATCTGATCCGTCAAGCTTACAAGTTATCTACGTTTTGATTCTTTACGATCTTGGCAATACATAGACTATAATAATAATAATCCTTTATTGCAGACACAGAGATCCAGATTTACAGGAAAAAATATTAATATAATATAGCAAGAATATACATGTTACAATAGTTCCAAAAGTCTATCGTCACCCAGCAATTTTCACCCAGTATCTGTACATTGCAGTCTGTATCTGCCTGTCTGCCAAACTACGCACAATGGCGTTGTTACACTATTACCGTTACATAATCAGACTGTGTGCTCGTTTGTATATATATATAAAAACATAAGGCTGCAGTTGCAGATAATAAGGCCTAAGATGCAGGCTTAGAGTGTAACAATAATGTCTCCTTTCAATGTCACTGTCTTTTAAAAAAAACCTAAACTAATACTAATAATGTCCTCCAACCCGAATTTCGGCCACGGCGGCCTGCCTCAACGGAGGCTAGCCATCGGCGCAGGACAGGATTATAGTGCCCAAGTGTATGCGCAAGCCCACGTGCAATCTCTATTCCCTCACTCTCATAATCCGATGGGCGGTAAACCGACACGACCGGAGAGAGATCAGGCGCAAGACCAACGGCTTTACGTGCTTTCCGAGGCACGGGGGTGAGACACCGCCAACTTCCTCACTCCTGGCAGCTACTGAGAATTTCTTGACAGAAAAACTCAATAATTGATTTTTGGCCGACCCGGGATTCGAACCCAGGACCACATGATCAGCAGTCGCACTACTACAACCACTAGACCAACGAGGCAGTCACTAACTCTATACTTCACTCCACAATAGTAAAATATAGTCACTTACTAGTTGGTATCGGGTGAGCACTTCTCTGTCAAGGCTTCTGATCACAGTAATAATTCCCGTGTTCGAACCAATGGCGAACTGTCGGAGGTCATTCCCTGACACTATTGAATATGTCACTTGTTCGTTTTCTGGGTCCTTAGCCTGAAAAAAGTTAAAAAATATATTATTTTCTTTCCTTTTTATCGGTCTTATATCATCAATATTGTTAATTTTTAAATAAGTAAACAATTGTAAAAATTAACGTCTCTTAGAAAAATTAAAGTAAGTACCTAAAAGTTTAACATATCAAAGACATGATCACATCAGTGAAAGCTCATAATATTATTTATTAACTAATTAAAATATGTTATTGTTTAATTGTATGTTTGACTTTCAATTACATTTGAACGTCTAGATGGAATCTAATGAAATTTGGCAAGGAAGAGTATTATATATATAGCACATAATATTATAATACTTTTTAATTAATAATTATTATAAAGTTATGACCAGATATGCGGACGGATAAACGCTCGTATCAAATACATAATATATCCTTTAAACAATATATACATATCAAAACCTACCGTAACAGTTGTAACGGTAGAGTTGATAGCAGCGCCTTCTGACACTGGCGCGTAGTAATCCCGCGCGGAGAACTGCGGCGGTCTCGTGTTCGGTCCCGGCGCAACCATTAGTTCCACAATTCCCTGGGAACTCAACCCTTTCGCATCCATCGCGCGTATAGTTACGCTGTACTGCTCGCCAGCCTGTAATCGCCCGGTGCTTGCTGTAAGAGATTTTCATATTTTATACTAAATAAAACTAAAAGACAGTGTTCATTACATCAAACATTAATATTGCACTGAATCAAATCATCGTCAGACTTCGCTGTATTATGGGAGCACGTCCGTACTAGTGAGCCGAAGAGAATATATCGCTTCATTTTGTCCCGAGGATGCAGTAAAATGATGTTACAGCCTATATACGTCCCATTGCTAGACAATGGCCTAATCTCACTTCTGAGAGGGTTTTTAGGGCAAGGAAATGTCTTGACGGACTTCACATTTTACGACTTCAAAATATTTTTTTTATTTCTCAGACATGCAGGTTTCCTCACAATGTTTTTCTTCACCGCCGAACACGTTAAAATAATTAATATTTTCATTGGTACGGCGCTGGTCGAACCGGTGTTGCTCGCGTACTTAGAAACTATGTTGGAGAATTTTACAAGGTAGAGCCATGCTGCAGCGATTTTAGTATGGGGGTAAAATACGTTCGCACCCCATACGGGAAAGGGGGTGTCGCTTACTGTGACTAGATGAGACATGGTGGTTCGGCGTGACGTTCGCAGCTTTTAAAATAATTCTGCAAATTGTTCTCTCAGTTTTTTTGGATTTCATTTCTTTTTTCATATTTTTCATGTAAGTATGTATATATACAAATATTATTTATGTATATATACAAGTATATATTTTCGTCTTAATAACTTATTATATTTACGCATGTTTTGTGTTTTTTTTGTTTTATTTGTTTTATGACTTCGGCGCTAGCGTTACGGTCCGTCACAACCAGTTACCTTGTATCTGTAATATTCAGGAAACAGCATTTTCACGCGCTCTCTAAAGAAAAATAAATGACAATACTGTTTTTGAATCACAGCTGTCGAGCTCGAGAGCTATTGTGCATATTAAAGGATGAAAGTGGTGGTACAGAAGATGCAGAGTGGATAAATGAAGATGAAGTAATTTCGGTAATGAAGAAGATATTGCAATGTCAATTGTAGATATTTAGGAACATTTGAAAAATCCTTGGACTTCTGATAAATAACAGAAATATTTATTTATTCGTTATTAGTTATTACATATTTTACTACGTAAAATAGTAGCTTAATGCTGCTGTGTTTCGTATAGTGAGTATAGAGAACCGAAGACTCTTTTTACTAAAAAGGAGGCATTCCATTTTAGTACTCACGGGTGACAAATCATCTGCATTTTGATTCGTAATCGAGGATAGATGTAAATGTCTATGGGCTACAGCAACCACTTACCATTAGGGGAACTGTGTGCTCGTTTGTCACCCTATGCTTTATAAAAAAAAATTACAGCGAGCGTTAAGCCCCTGAGCTAGCACGGCCCTCGTGCTCTCGGATGTATTAAGAGGTGGCTATAAAAATGCGTAAGTGTATTACGAAATATTAATCACTTATAACATCATCATCAGCCAACGGCGGTCCGTATCTCATATAATTTACACGTAAAACGTAGTGATTTTATACTCTTTGATTACACCAACAATACCTAGACCGGCGCGGAAAACGAAATCAATGGAGCCTGAAATCTGTTTTTGTCATCATCAATGTGACTTCAAACTAGCTTAGTCAACTTTTTTTATTAGAGTTAGTGTATATCTAAAAACATATCTAGAAAATCACCAGCAAATAAAAAAAAACATAATATATCCTAATACATAATATAAAGTGTGTTTCAAATGAATATGTTTTTTACGATTATTTTTGTGGCTTTATCTTCAACCTCAAACCATGATTAGCTTATATGGATGTTTAGCTAAAATATAGTTAATTCGCCTTCTATACATTCTTTAGATTTTAGCATTTTTGGATACTTAGTAAGATAATATATTACACAGTAGGGTTAGTAAGCGTGCTCCTAAAAACATATCCAATACACATTTGATTCCATTCCATTTCTTTGGATTCCAATCTACATCGATCACAAAATCGATAAAAAATTGTAATAAATTGATCACTAGCCATTCAAACCTTATACGTCAGTATTACCGGTATGTAGCGATTTTGTGGAGGAGATTTTTTGTTCACAGTTCTTAGTGATCGATGTTGCGTAAGTATATTTAAATTCAATCATGCTTACACCACCTACGTAAAAAAGGTGGTCATTGTACTTACATTTCTATATTGGATATATGTATATTATTATCTAAGCATGTACACTCAGCAAAATAATATGTATAGCTTACAAATAATTCCCGTGTTGGGATCAATGGTGAACTTATTCCCGCCGTTGTTCGAAACGTGGTAAATGCTGTAGATAATGCGGGCGTTTTCCCCTTCGTCGATATCAGTCGCTTCAACCTAAAATATAATAATACAATATAGTATAAGAATATAATATAATAAATATACCACAAACACATACTTATGTCTTGAAATCTAAAAGAAGTTCTTTTGGGCGGTAAAGTAATTCAAATAGGTCGATAATAAATATTTAAAAATATTTTTAATATTATACACACATATATCTACGTAAATATTTTTATAACCGTTTGTTGCCAAATAAATATAAAAGTGAAGTGGGCTTAACATAATGCTAAGACAGTATTGACCACCTAGGACTCCACCACCACTTACCATCTGGTGGAATTGTAGTCAAGAACTGCCATGTGATAAATAATAAACCAAATCTATAAAATAGACAACAATACTTATCATCATTACAGCTGAAAACATGCTTGCAAACCCTCTGTTGTTAACAGTTCATTGCATTCTATGAATCAATATTAATGTTTACTTAAGGCAATCCCCGAAACTCTTCACCGCTGCATTGGAAGACGTTTTCAAGCTACTGGATTGGAAAGGATACGGTATTAACATCAAGGGCGAGTACATCACTCAACTTCAATTTGCCGGCGATATAGTCCTTATGGCAGAATCGCTGGAGGACCTTAAGCACTATGCTCAATGACCTCAATGGTGTCTCCCAACGGATAGGTCTTAAGATGAACATGGACAAAACAAAGATCATGTTTAATGTCCGTGTCACACCTATGCCAATAGTTGTTGGGAGCACTATGCTCGAAGTTGTTGACGAGTACGTTTACCTGGGACAAATAGTCCGACTAGGAAGTCCAACTTCGACCGAGAGGTCAATCGACGGATTCAACTCGGCTGGGCAGCGTTCGGGAAATTACGACACATCTCGTCAGGTATACCTCAAACTCTGAAAACTAGATTGTACAACCAGTGCGTGTTGCCAGTGATGACTTACGGATCTGAGACGTGGTCCTTCACTGCTGGCCGTATGAGGACGCTCAAGATCGCTCAGCGAGCTATGGAGAGGGCTATGCTCGGAGTTTCTCTGCGTGATAGACTCAGAAATGAGGATATCCGCAGTACAACCAGAGTGACCGACATAGCCCAACGGATTAGTAAGCTGAAGTGGCAATGGGCCGGCCATATAGCTCGAAGAACCGATAACCGATGGGAAGAAAGGTTCTCGAGTGGCAGCCTCGTACCGGTACGCGTAGTGTAGAGCGACTCCCCACTAGATGGAGTGACGACCTGGTAAGACATGCAGGAAGTCGATGGATGCAGGTGGCTCAGGACCGTGCTTTGTGGCATTATTGGGGGAGGCCTACGTTCAACAGTGGACTTGTGAAGGGCTGTAATGATGATGATGATGATGATGAATTAGGTAAGATACGCCAATACGGTTTTCGTCTAGGTCGATCAGCTGGTGATCTTCTGGTCTGCCTGACTCATACATAGGCGGACGCAGTAAATTCCAAGGGGGAAGCACTGGCCATTAGTTTGGACATAGCAAAGGCCTTCGATCGTGTCAGATCGGGTAAGATCCGTCAGCAATAATAAAGCTCGCAAAAATAAGATGGAACGTTGAATATAGGAAATCATTAAAAATGGTGTGTTTTTAATAGTCGGTAACGTATGACCCTATTCCCCCTTTAGAAGTTGGCTTTTACTTTAAAACAAGACTTGTCGTCCTTAATTTCAAACCTTGTAAACAGCAGTGGGCTCTAAACTAGCAGGAACAGTTATAGGCTGGGTCTTTGGTATGATCGGCGCATTATCGTTCACGTCCAATAGTTGCACGGCCAATGAAAGTGGAGCTGAAGCTGCGCCGCCGTTAGCTTCGCGGGCGACAACCTGAAAATATAAAAACATAAACATAACATAAACACTCACGCCTGTAACCCAGAGGGGTAGGTAGAGACCACAGACTTCCATTTAACACGATCCTGACATACCTCTCTCGCCTCTTCCACATCTTAATTTGGCCTATTTTTAGTATATAGCTAATTTGGTCGACAAACTTTCGCCTACGACGTCCCTTTTCTCGACTCTTCCTTCTGCAACATATATTTACTTTGTCCTCATTCATTCTTTCTACATGACCAAATCACCAAAGCATTCCTCTCTTAATCCTGGTCACCGCATCATCTTGCAAACCACACTCTTCTCTTATCACACAGTTTCTCACCCTGTCACTCAGATACAACCCTAACATACTCCTTAGCGACCGCAACTCTACTGCATTTATTCTACTCTCGTGCTTCTTCTGCCACACTCAACTTTCACTACCATACGTTAAATTAGGGACTAATACAGAATTGTGAATTGCCATACGTGCCTTTTTTGACACATTCTGACTTTTCACAATTACATCTAAATATATATTTCCTAGAATTTTACACATTTATAATATATATCTATATAATATATAATAAAGATAAGTTGTAATAAAGTATGTGTTTGAAATATTATGTATTATGCATTATTCTAAAAATTATATTCTTATATCTGTAAATAAATAAAAACAGGTCTTTGTAAATAGATTCAAATCATTATTTACAGATTTTCAATTTTTTATTTAGAAACAATTTAACTTACTTGGAATCTAAATTTGCCTGAGTTGGGTTGGTCTCGATCCAAATGGTCGTCGCTCACAATGAGGTGGCCCTCCGAGTCTATGTCGAAATAACTTGTCGTCAATTCGAATGTATATTTCGGAACTGGATCGCCAGGTCCCTACAAAAAAAGTTGAAAAGTATTTAGAACGGTAGCAATGTAATTAACGCCAATTATGCTCAAACTCTCTAAGATTTACAAATTATAAGCATTGCTTTTGACTCATAGAAACAAAAGTGTAATTTTTAGACTTGCAACGAATATTCGGCTATTGTTCGGTATTTGGCCTATTCGACTACTTTTATCCTATTCCGTCAAATATCCAATATCTAGATACTATTCGGCCGAATACTGAATACTTAGGAGGTTTTATTGCATTCAGATAATTGGTAAAATGAAAATATATATATATTTATTTATTTCATAAATTTTTTTTTCTTATAATCATTAAAGTAGTCATAGATACATCATCAACTTTCATATTAGAAAAATTAAAAAAGAACTATCAGAATTCTACTCTCGTAACTCTATTTATCGTAATTAAAGTAGAAGATAATGATGTACAAAGACTAATTTTTTTCATTTTCAGGCAGTAGTTTACTCCTTTTCTTCTCGTAGACAATCCCGGTTTCAGAGAGTAGACGCTCTGAAGGATAGACAGTACTTTCTTCCTTACTGAATACTTTTGCCTAATATACGGGCAGAAAATCCGAAGAATATGTTTATTATATTAGCAACGAATAATCTATTCGGCGTGTACCGAATAGATTAATAAACTTCTAATATGACCACACTTCTAAAGTCCGACACATACATGGTCACCAACACGATCTTGTCATAACAAATAAATTAAAATATTACATATTAAATTTATATATAACATATCCGTGACGCGAGATACTAAAAGAGAAAATTTAAATAAACCTTACCAAATCGGGATCGGAAACCGTTAATTTAATCGGGTGCCCATTAGCATCCAAAACTTTCGTGCCTTTTGGTGAATTTTCTTCGACTTGCCCCTCCTCTGATGAAGCGCTTACTACCGGTGGACTAGCGTCCACGGGACGAACAGTTATCGTCAGCTTCGCAGTCGTGTAGCGATGCACTTCCGTTGCTTCTTCGGCCTAAATATGATTGAATAATTTACAAGATAACTGTTAGGAAAAATCAACTTATATGAAAATTTCAAACCAATACAGCTAGCAAAGAGCCGTGGTAGCTCAGATGGTTAACGCTCGCTGTAAATATAACAGAATGCGAGTAACCCGGGTTCGATCCCCGCCGGCACCAATGAAAATGTTAAATGCAATTTTAAGTGCTGATTTACCACGTGCTCGGCGGTGAAGGAAAACATCGTGAGAAAACCTGCATGTCTGAGGAATAAGAAAAAAATATTTCGAAGACATGTGAAGTTCGCCAACACGCGTTGGGGCAGCGCGGCGGACACTTCCTTACCCTAAAACCCTCTCAGAAATGAGGGGAGGCCTGTGCAGCCGTGCAGGCCTGGCCAGCAGTGGGTCGTATATAGGCTGTAACTTTACTTTACTTTTTACAGCTATCGATACATCCACCGTGTAGAGGCAGTATATTCATATACACGACACCATAGCGTCCCGTGGGAGTCACAAGAGGCGATAAAGGGAACCAAACCTGAAGATGGGCAGCAGCGTCTTCCTAACAGCTGAAATAACTGGGGTCGCTAGCAAGCCTGTACCCATGGAATACTATAATACATACATAATAGAACGGGGGAGTGGGCGCAGCCCGCGTAGCCACTAAAATGTCACTAACACGTCAATTCACATGTATAAATGTCAACACGAGATGTGTTTTGACGTTACAATCGTTTCCGAATTTCGCATGCAAATTATTTAAAAAATGCCAAATTGCACCCTATTTACAAATAAATATGTATTAAAATTTAAACGATTTTTTTAATGATGATCTTGAACATTAATCAAAAGTCTAAAATGTGTTCTGTCAACACAGCGAATCGGGTTTGGCGACGCCAACAAGGCAAAATAAAGTTGACAGCCATTCTATTGTGTATTATAGTATTCTACGCCTGTACCCGCTATGGTAAATATCCGTACTATGACACATGGTAACGGTAAGCAATACAGCCAATGAAAAGTCCACCGCTGAACATAGGCCTCCCCCATAGACTGCCTCATAGGGGTATATTTGTCATAGTTTCCACGCTCAACAGTTTTTTATTATTTTAAGATTCATGAAGATGCTACTGTCTATCTCGTGTTTGATTTCCCTCCGTCGCTTCTTACGACAGCCATGGGATGGTAAGTGGATATTCTAGCCTACACAAAAAGTTTTAATTTTTTAATATTGTTAGAAATTTTAAGGGTTTATAAAATTCTTAAAAAAATATATTAAATCTAACCTCTTGCTCACGCCTAGAATACTAATAGAGTTGAAATAGTGATTTATGTAGCAAATAAATACAGTAAATTGTTCACTGTGTACATCCACAAAATTGTTGTAAATTAAATTGATAATCTAAAAAAATATTAAGTCATGATACATAGAGCTTGTAATATAAAAGATATATGTATATAAAATAATATTTTCAAATGTCAGTATAAGCTTTTTCCTCATAAAACTCATAAATACCTTTATAACAAGTTGAAATTTCTTCGCAACAGTTGTATCGACAGGCAACAATTGTCTTACAGCTCCAGTGTTCTGGTCTATAGCAAAATAAGTTGACCACGAATCCGGTTCGCCACTTTCGATACTATATTGTATTCTCGCATCCAACGTGTCCATGTCCACTGCCTGGATTTTCTCAGGCTCTATTGTCAGGATTCCAGCTAAAACACCGCTGTTAACCTATAACAATTTAAAAAAAAATTATAGGCGCTCCCGACTAAAAACAATTCAAGATTAAAATTAAATAAGCATTGAAATAAGAAAAGCTTTTAGACAAAAAAAAAACTTTACACATGAACATTTAAATAATACTAGTTTTTACGGATTTTATCTCGTATATTAACTTTTTTATATTCCCGATGTTTCGAGCACTTTACAGCATCCATGGTCACGGTGGGGACTGAGATGTTCAACGTCCCACTGTCATAGTTAACGCGGTTACCCACAGATTAAAATTATTCATTATTAACAATTTAGTTAGTTTTTGTGAAACTTTTTTTTTGTTCGACACGTCGGGAATATTAAAAGTTAATATACGCGATAAAATCCGTGAAAACTAGTACTATTTAAATGTGTAGTGTTCGCGTAAATATAAGAAAACTTTACACAAGAAGCGATTACACGAAACATTGAATTCTACGTATTTTTACGTTATTCTTAGTTATTATATATATATATATATATATATATATATATATATATATATATATATATATATATATATATACACACAATATGTATTACGTAATTAACGCACACCCTCAGTACACCCCAATTAGTATATTATGTTATAATCATAATTCATACACTGAATTTTTAGTTAAACAATTGCACTGATTATTTATCAAGTTAGTTATACTAATTCCGGAAGAATGTTGTGGTCACAGTACAAATTCACGAACGCAAAGACTTTAATGAGCTTGAAATAAAGTTCATTTTTCTTTATTTTTATTGAATGACAGCATTAGTAATAATACAAATAAAACTGCACTCTTAAAAGTCTTATTGCCTTAAGTTACGGTCCATTTCAGTTTGTTTTAACTGAACAGATTTAGTGTGACTGTAATTTACGTAGTTTTAATTATTTTTGGGATAAAAAATTACCTATATTAAAAATGATAGGAATCGATTCAGTAAATATTAAAAAAAAAATATATATATATTAATTCTTTACAAGATTACAAACATATTAAAGTCTTCTACTGGTCTATTGGTTTCCCTCTGTCGTACTACTCTTACGACGTCCATGGGACGACATGGAGTGGTGGATATTCTTTCATCGCCATTATATGGTTACCGGTTTTGGTGCGGTTTGGTGGAGCATAGCGTAATTCTTAAAATAAATAACAATATATCCGTTAAATTAAATACTTTCTTGGTGTTTTGTAATAATTAGTAAATAATCAGTAAGTGACAAAATGAATTCTTCGTAGATAAGAAACATCTTTCTAAAAAGTCACCTACGTCCCATATCTGTATTGCCCTTTCCATCTAAAGTTCTAGAAGCTTGTGTTTATAAGCAAATATTCAAATTTATATTTGAATAAAACCTACTGACTACTGATCAGTTTGGGTTTCGTCCTGGTCACAGCACCACTACAGCATTTCTTAGGGCCGATCTTCATTATAATGCCGTTCGCAGTTAAAATATTATCAAGTAAAAAATATGGGTGTGCATTCATAATATCCGTAACAGTCAAGTTTGTTTCGAATCCCATCAAAAAACGATGGATGAGGATCGGCCCTTAAAGTTACCGAAGATATCAGATATGGTATGGAAAACAAGAAAGCTACTGTATTGGTGCCTGTTGACTTTTCTAATGTTTTTAACATGGTTGACCACGATATCCTACTAGCCATTATTTCCATTTAAGATTTACACCTTTAGCCTTAGAGTGGTTTGCTACCTATCTTCGTTCATATAGGGCAAGAGTACTCAATGTGGGCCGATTTACATTTCCCGCAAGGCGGAAATACTAGTGGGTATTTCGAGAATATTTTCTAAGATAAGTCTATCAAATCTGCTTTTGATCTATTTGATGACATCTTGATACCCTTCTCGAGCAATGTGAAAAGACCTGTACATGGACAGTACATTGAAATGGGACACACATGTCACTGAAATCAGTCGCAAAGTATTTATCTACTTACGGTCTCTCTATCATCTACCTATAAACACAAAGATCATGCTTGTGCAGACACTTATTTTACCCATTAATGATTATGCATATGTTTTTACCCAGATTTTTACATCTGTACTCATCTTGTAATATTCCAACAGCTATACCATCTCAATATCTCCATATACATATATATATATATATATATATATATATATATATATATATATATATATATATATATATATATATATATATATATATATATTGTTAATGATATCATATAAAAATAACTCAAACAGCTTTCATAAAAAATAAATGAGACTTACATAGCTGGTATATTCTGGGTTGATGCAAACGCCCTCATGTAATGTGCAGCCCTGGTAAATAAATGAAGGGTCCTGATCGTCGTCATCGAGAACATTTATCTTCATTGTCGTGGTACTGGACAGGCGGCGTTTGGTATCGCGCGCGCGATCCTGTAACAAGTTCATAGAATATCATCATCATTTAAGATTCGTCGCAAGTCAATTGCTAAACATAGATCTCTGCTACAGATTCCCACAAAGCGTGGTCTAGAGCCACCTTGATCCATCAATACTGTGTCAGCCTTCTATCACTCTTGCTACCTAAGTGAAATAATTACCTAAAATCGCGACGCGCCCGGGCGAAATAACGCAGTCAGGGCTAGCGCGTTGGAGGCGATTGAATGTTAAACGCTGTTTACGTATATAACTTTTTGTAAATATTGTTGAAATAGTTTTTGTTTAGTGTTAAGTATATTTAATTATAGGATAAAATAGTTCAAAAGTTTTAATGTAATTTAAGAACTATATATTATGTATATTACCCATTATTTAATAAATTTTAACATGGCAAAACGTCGTTCCTACTATAATTGTTGCGTGGACAGACGCTAAATGACCAACAAAATATTTCAGATATGTCATTCTTTATTACCGAAGGATTTTAGTAGGAAGTTATGAAACGTGAATTTATTTAATTTTTATTGTTAGATAGGTACTTATGGCAACAAATAATTAAGTAATAATTTATTTAATATCTACGAACTTTATTACAAAATTTAGCAGAAATTTACTTCACTATCCAAGTATCTACTTACGTACATATACTTGCCTTTTGTATTAAAATATTTTAAGCTGTTATTATAGCTTAAAATGTTTTAAGCTAAAATAACACAAAACACTGAAATCAAAACTTTGATTACCAACAAAATTTTTGATGTGATCCGTAAATAGAAGTGTGCATAAATCGTAGATAAATAAGCATATATTATTATATATTATACTTGCATTTGTTTTTAATATATATTTTAATATATTCTTGACAGCCCTAAGTAACCACGGAAAAACAGCCGTGATGTGGCAATGGAAAAAGATGCAAAGTAATACGGACACTCGCGCGCAGCGATAAAGGTTTATTTAGTTTGCGTGCGAAATTTATCTTATTAATAATAATTATGTAGGCCATTAAACGTCGGCAAGCAGTCAACATCAAAAGAGTGAAACTTCTGTACGTAGTACTATTATTTATTCTGTGACTGTGTTTAAAAAAAGGTCGTTACTATATTATGTGTACTACACTATTGTGTTTTAACTTTGTATTCAGTTATGCTATTAAGCTAGATAAATATGAACTAGTAAAAAAAACTTTAGTTTCACAAAATAGAATTTTTAATAATAAGTAATTTTATAAAGATAACTAAGGCTGTGGGGGTAAATTCGGGTCTTCGTTCATATAATAAACTGGTGGTAGAGGAAGGAGGTACAGTTCTTGAGTTGGCTGGCGTAGGTGGTAGTCTGGCTGAAGCATTCCGGTAGTGGAACTGGTGGGTGAAGAAACCCAGTAATAGAACCTACTTAAATCCCTTTCTTTATTATCGGTTGCCGTTTTTACAATCTTAAAGGTCAACCCATTTTTTTAAATACTTGTAATGCTGTTAACATTAACAGTATTCCCGTTGACCACTCCTACTAAGTTAGAAATGCTTGTGTCAGGAGTGGTTCATGACAATAGTCGAATGGTTGATTCAACCCCACGACCTTTGAGTTCGCGGTCCGTAACCTACATAAGGCTACTGTCACTTATATTGACACTTTAACTAACTAATCTCCACATTTAACCTCCAAAATGGTGAATTTATTAAGACGTTTTATACTTACAGAAGCAACAATAGTGACTAGATATAGCTTCGTGCGCTCGTAGTCCAAGGTTCTGTTTACAGTAACCACACCTTGATGCGGCAACGGTATGGTAAAATATCCGTAGCCATCGACAGCGTTAGTTTTTTCTAAAGTCTTATTATCTCCTGGTATAATAAAATATTCTGAGAGACCGTTGACGCCAGCGTCTATATCAACTGCTCGGATTCCTTCAAATATAGTCGTACCGATTGGTACCAGCTGCAAAACAAAATCCAGTCATTATTGAAAACGTAGTGGAGAAATATCTTTCAGATAATATCAGCGTAAAATAGCAGCCCAATATGGAGACGCTTTTTACCGGAAATGAGCCATTCCATCAAGTCCTCAGGGTGGCAACGCATTTACATTTTGATTCTTAATCGAAGATAGATGTAGATGTCTATGGGCCACAGCAGCCACTTACCTGTTTACCTTATTCTATTTAAAAAAGCACATAATTTTATATAGAACATAACACCAACAAAATTTATTTCCAGTGGAGTAATAAGCTTATAGTAAAGTTTTGTGGCTTCAAGTAAAGTTAATAGTCTCTCTTCTGTTTAAGGGTGCTAGACTTTTTAATATAAATACAATACAATATAATATATTTCATACATACCTCAGACACGTTGGCCTCGTACGGCGTATTCTGAAACACAGGCGCGTTGTCGTTGATATCTGACACGCGTACTATCACCGGAATCGTCCGTCGCTTCTTTGTTGCTTTTACTTGACAAACAAGCTGTAAAATCAATAATTAAAATATAATATTTATTGGCAAAGAGTAAAAGTTCGAATTCTTAAACTACAAACCTCCAAAGTCTACATATATGTTGAGAGACATATACAAAAATACCTTTAAATAGGAGACAATAAATACATAATAAAGCATAAACTCTCACGCCTGTCACCTAGAGGATCAAGCAAGACAACGGACTTCCATCAAGCGCCGGACTAAAAGGATCCATCACTATATAAGTCTTGTGGGTGTCGTAACAGGCGACTGAATGAAATTCTAATAAAATGTTATGTATTTCAGGACGGTATAACAATTCCGTTTACAAGGGATGTATAATATCCAAACCAGCGAAGAGGACAGCGTCAAAGTTGCGAGGCGTGTAGCCTGTGTGTAACCTTTATCACCAATCAACCTACCAAGGTGATTATAACAAATAACCGGGAAAGGCCCACGTCTTCGTGTGTTGAACTCTCGCGGGCTTATGAAGCTGAAATTGGATTTCTATTTGAATGATATTTTTTGTGAGTTGTTTTTTTATACAGTCATCATGAATATATAAAAATCAGGATATGTATACAACTTGTCATTACTTCAACAAGAATTACAAATGATGATGTGGTGGTACACTTGTTCAGTGACAAAGTTGGCGATAGATAAATAGTTGTCCTAGCATAAGAAATATTATAGGACCTTCGGAATCGGAATTAGGCAAAGATAAAAGGGGAGTAGGTACCTGCAAAGATTTTCTTAAGGAACGAACGCAAATAAACTTTGCTCGTGGAACAAAAAAGTGTATAAATTATTTTCACTCTGGCTAAAAATGTAAGAATATTCGAGAACTGCATCAAATAAACTTTTTACAGACAGTTATCAAGCGTTGGTAAAAAGATGATAAAACAGTACAATGGCTTAAGGCTAAATTCATTCAATTCTTAATAAGTTGGAACGCCTGCTTATTTAAAAGGCACAAAAACGTGAGCAAAAGTAATGATAGACGTATATTATTAATTGCAATTTTTAATAATCACAAATGAAAACGTCTTTGGAGGCTATTAAAGTACATATTTTAAAACAGTACAAAATTACTATCTCTAAAAGTTCTTTTAGATAAAATGGCATTCAGCAATTTCAATTTTTTTTTATTTATGTGTATGTTAATCACATATCTGTCTAATTGTATACATACATTTATATATATTTACTAAATTTTAATAATAGTTTTTTACGTTTCTAATAAATATTCGATTTTTAAACCTTCTTTTTGTCTTTAAATCACACCGACAGATATTGTCTAGGTAGAAATGCTTCAAGTCCTGACACGTAATTTTAGGTTTATAAAGTTTAGATCAATAGTAATAATAATTAAGTAAAATAAAATAAATTAAATAAATAACAGTATCATAAAAATTCTACATTTACATATTTTAACATTGTAATAGCAACCGATGGCCGGGCAACCAACATAAACGTAAATATCCGAACCGGTCTCAAAAATATAACAATAAATAACATCACAATAAACTTTAAAAGAAGTTATTTCTTCACAATTCTTCCTCTTTTGAAGTAATTAGAAGAATCCTCATCATGCCTAGCAAAGATTAAGTACCCACCTGAAACACCATATGCGATAGATTGTCAGCATCTCTATCAAGCGGTTGGAGAAGCTGCAATCGCTTCCCGTCCAGCTGAAACAGCGTAGGACCTTTCGGGAATACTGTGGACAGCACCACATCAACATCTGGTTCGCCGACTATTGGCAGCACTGCCGGTACTGTGCTTTGGTTAACATCTGCAAATGAAAATGATTTAGGTGGATTTCTAGTTGGCTATAGAGCCGTGGTAGCTCAGATGGTTAACGCTCGCTGTAAATATAACAGAACGCGAGTAACCTGGGTTCGATCCACGCCGGCACCGATGAAATTGTTAATTGCAATTTTAAGTGCTGATTTACCACGTGCTCGGCGGAGCAGGAAAACATCGTGAGGAAACCTGGATATCTGAGGAATAAGAAAAAAAATATTTCGAAGACCGCCATGATCACCAATCGCCAACACACGCGATCCACGCAACAACCACGATCGCCAACACGCATTGGGGCTGCACGGCGGACACTTCCTTGCCCTAAAACCCTCTCAGAAATGAGGGAAGGCCTGTGCCCAGCAGTGGGACGTATATAGGCTGTAACTTTACTTTACTTTACTAGTTGGCTATTATACGAGTCAATGTTTTGAAATAATCGTCGATTGGAGAGCTCAAGTAATTTTAATTTTTTTAGAAATCCAAACCAATCACACTTACGATAATAATGCATAATGATTTCTTATATTTACGCGAACACTACACATTGAATAAAACTATTATTTACGGATTTTATCGCGTTTAATTACTTTAATTTATTTTTATTATTATCCCGACGTTTCGGGTGCTTTACAGCGCCCATGGTCACGGGGGGGGGACTGAGATGTTTGACGTCCCAATGTCATAGTTAGTCCGGCTACCTTCAGTTTTTTAATAGGAAGTCTGCAGTCTGCGAACATGTTCAAGATCGTCCCCACCATTACATTAGATTTGATAAACCACAAATTCTCGCAAAAGAACACCGATTCCTACCAAGGATGATACGCGAGGCTATTGAAATTAAAAAACATCCAAATTTCAATAGAGAAGATGGTTGGGTGCTACCATCTGCTTGGGATCCTATAATTAACAAAATTAAACCCAAACCCAAGCATACCACTGCAAGACTTCATGATACTATAAGCTCGTTCTGCGTAAATCGGACCAAAAATTAATATTAAAAAACTGAAGTTAGCCGGACTAACATTGGGACGTCAAACATCTCAGTCCCCCCCCGTGACCATGGGCGCTGTAAAAGCACCCGAAACGTCGGGATAATAATAAAAATAAATTAAAGTAATTAAACGCGATAAAATCCGTAAATAATAGTTTTATTCAAAGATAATAATGCATCTAATAAAGTACGACATATGACACATACATAGTATACAGAACAATTCCTTTTTTAAATTATAACGTGTTATGATAAAAAATAGCAATTACAAAAATAAGATGTGACAAAATATTCGTCAGCTACATATATACATTCATAGTAATAACGTAGAATATTTTGTTGCTGATATGTATTCAGTATTGTAAATTGACATATTAAAGAAATCTACTTACGGTCACCTCTGCTTTCTTCTATGTCCACGATAATACTGGACTGGCCAGTCTCTACTTCGCACGGTCCTATAACAAATGGCATAAATTATTTTTACAAAACATTAAAGCGAATTCATAATAACACTAAACACTTACTATTCATCTTGTTAAAATAATATAATCTAATATAATTTATTAAAATCATTAATGAGATATAATTCAACGACATTAAGGTCATAGAATACAAATATATGCAAGTAAGGGCGAGCACCATATGGGATGACATTAGAAATTTGATTGTACGAACATCAATAGTACTATGTAGTTCATGATCAACTGAATCTTTCAATGCATGTAAACAAAATACAATTGTTTATTTAATTAGTAGTAATAGTAAACAAGACACGAACATTTGTTTATATTTACTGAACGCGTTGGAAGCAAACGTGTGAATAATTTCGCCTTTGGCTAAACAGGTTATGCCATTGTTACACTTGACCGTTTTTACTTGGTAAGTTTCACTGCATAAGAAACGATAATCTTCCAAGTACCTAGTAGAACTGATACTACATAACTCATTTAAAATTAATAAAGATCGAAAGTTGAGTACACAATGTATGATTTTAAGTAAACGTTTTAATAAACGTTACAATTCTAGTAAAATTTAAATAACTGCCGCAGATATATGCGAAAATATTAAGGAACCTCCTTATACTATCATCGGGTAAGTTATACCCAATTTTGACGCTTATATTATGTGACCTTAGTTGCAGTGTAAAACATAAAATATTAACAATTTATTAATACCGGCTGTAAATTGAGCCAGGATCTCAGAAACAATAGTTCTGTATTCTTGACAAATAAGCAAAGTGATAATGAAAGTATCCCAGAGGTAAGATCAAATTCACGAATCAATCACCAAATTTAACTTTGCTAGAAAACTCACGAAGCAAGTGGGCACTGAGTTTCATAGCGTTTGAATGATAAATAAAAAAAAATGACGCGTGTCGACATATGCACGTACACTTACGAGAGATTATAAGATACACCTAAGTTGCAGGCCATGAAGACCTTTAAATAATATATTCTTATCTCCGTACACGGTAATTATACCGGCAATCTCACCCTGCGAACCGGAATATATCGATGCAGGCACCGCTATTTGGCGGTTGATAAGTGAGGCCTTCGCGCAGATCCACTATCTGTGCACTTCCTACAATGTGACCTAATACTGTGCTAGAGTTTATTAATTGTAAGCTCTAAATGAAATCTGAATTAATTGATTTTCGTATAGGGGTTTTTACGTAATAGAGCCATGCTACAGTTATATTAGTAATATAGTTGTAGCACTAATGGGTCGGCTCAACCGGGGGAAAGGACCACGCTCTAACGGAATACCAGCGTGAAATAGTAGCTTAATGCTGCTGTGTTTCGTACGGTGAGTGTAGAGACCGGAGACCTTTTTTGCTGGAAACGAGGCAATCTATCTTAGTACTCACAGGTGACAACGCATCTGCATTTTGAATCGCATACGAGGATAAATGTAGATGTCTATGGGCCACAGCAACCACTTACCACCAGGTGGACTGTATGCTCATTTGTCACCCTATCCTTTAAAAAGGGGTATTTTAATCAATTGGTTATCCTCACACTTATTCTCCAACGTCTAGCGCACCCGCACACCACTGTTCACAAAACCAAAACTGTTTTACGTAATAGAGCCATGCTACAGTTATATTAGTAATATAGTTGTAGCACGAGTGGGTCGGCTCGACGGGGGAAAAACCACGCTCTCACAGAATACCAGCGTAAAATAGTAGGTTTATGCTGCTGTGTTTCGTATGGTGAGTGTAGATAACCGGAGACCCTTTTTACGGAAAGTGAGGCATTCCATCTTAGTCCTCATGGGTGATAACTCATCTCCATTTTGATTCGTAATCGAGGATACATGTAGGTGTCTATAGGCCACAGCAACCACTTACCATCAGGTGGACTGTGTGCTCGTTTGTCACCCTATACTATAAAAAAACAGTGTAATGAATACAAAACGGCTCATTTTTTCTGGGGCATAATATGACCAGCGGCAAAACTAAAAAAAAACTCTTTATTTTTTTAATAAAATAGGGTGACAAAAGAGCACACAGTACACCTGACGGTAAGTGGATGCAATGACCCATAGACATGTACATTTATCCTCAATTAAGAGTTAAAATGCAGATGTGACCCGTGAGGACTAAGATGGAATGCCTCATTTACAGTAAAAAGGGTCTCCGGTTCTCTACACTCAACATACGAAACAAAGCAGCATCAAGCTGCTATTTTACGCTGGTATTCTGCTAGAACGTGATCCAACCCCGGTCGAGCCGATCCATTCGTCCTACAACAATAAAGCTGCAGCAAGGTTCTACCACATAAATGTAATATGGATATAATAATCCATAAGGAAAATAATAATAAGAATAAATATTTGTAAGTTAATATTTAATAAAGATTATTTGCATAGAAATAAAAAGGACATCTAAGGTAAGATCGCGACACTCAAGTGAAACTCAGAATTATTGATTTACAATACATTCAACCGTGTTTGTTATATCGGCTTCACCTGATCTATTAATGTGTCGTAATTAAGATTTAAGATAATTACGAAATACCATTTATTTTGTCAATTTTTTAAGGTAATAAAATATGTTGACCCTGCAGGCCATTCCTGAAACTTCCCGCTTATTTCAAATGCAAGACGTTCCAAATTTCATCAAATTATGACGTTGAATATAAAAATATCAATTTTTTCAAAAAATTTCGTTAACGATATCTATGGTTTAAGATATTTATTTTCTCAAAAGAATTAAAATTCACTTACATGAGAAATGTACAACACTAACATAATTTTATATTAAACGGCACGACACACAAACAAACTGATAACAAAATAAAAATACACCATTTTTTATAGTCTAAACAAATAATGTTAAAAGTTATGAGTACATAGTAAAATAATAAAAAGGAGGCTACCAAAGATTAAGATAAACATTCATGACGGTTACTTTATTTGGTTCGATCGCCGAGTGCAAAATTATTCATATACCGACTTTTAGCTTCATTTAATCGAATTTACGTTGAACAATAGAGACTGGAAGTGATATTATGTATTTTTGATTGAGCGCAATTATTACTTGGTTGTATTTGTTGGATAATTAAATGACCTAATGAAATTTAATAACTATATCTGTTTTTATATGTATACTTGTTAAGAATTCCCTTTTTAATGTTTTGTTTTATTTGCTTTTTTTATTAGTTATTAGTATATACATACATATAAGTATATTTAATTATATTTTTATATACATATATACACACATATATACATACAAATAGACACATATTTATATTACTATAAAAGTAAGGCTTATTAATAATAATTTTACTAGATCGAAGCTGATATTATGCTAATTTAATAACATTTTAGCATTTTAATTTACCTACCAATATTATAACCACCCAATCAAATTAAGCACAATTTAACGAAGAAGTAAACCACCTTGATTATGTGTTTAGAAAATAATGTTTTAGTAATCTTTTAAAGGTTGTCATAGATTTGGCATCCCTTATGGTAGTTTGTTGTAGATTAGGGCACCTTCATTTAAAATATATTTTTTACCGCAGTTAGTACGTGCTGTGTGTGCGTAGTTTTAATTCTCTGTAAAGTCTTGGTCTTAGTTTTGTTATAGGTTTATTTTTTGTAAAACTTAATTCTGTGCGAATGCTTTTATTTAGTATTTTACGTACTAAAATGCCAAGTATAATATTTATATGTTAGTGATATATTCATGATTTTAGTGTCCTTATAAACTTGGCTTGTTGAAGTAAGAAAGTCGTAATTATATAGTACCTTAATCAGTTTATTTTGTGCTACCTGTATTGTTTCTATATTGGTTTTTGCTGCTGTGCCCCAGACTTCTATAAGGTATTCAATATGTGGTTTGACTAATGAATTATAAATAGTGTATCGCACACTACGTGGGAAACATTTTACTATATTTCGCAGTGCGCCAGTGAGAGAAACCAATTTAGATTTAATATTATTTATATGACACTTAAATGTCATATGATTATCCAACCGGAGACCGAGGTATTTTTCATTATCTACTTTAGAAATTGGTTCACTATTTATTGTGAGAGGCTTATAGTTACCAATTTTTTTTATTTTTTGATGTAAAAATTACGTAGTGTGTTTTAGTAATATTTATAGTTAGACGGTTAGATTGAAACCACATATTCAATGTGTTGAGATCTGATTGGGCATCGGTAATCAATTCGTTAATTGAATATCCATAGTAAAACAGACTTGTGTCGTCTGCATATAATGTAATATTACCTTTTAATCCTATATCCTTAATACTATTGATGTAAATCAGAAAAAGCAGCGGTCCTAATATGGAACCTTGCGGTTATCCAAAAGTTATTAATTTTGGTTCACTTTGATTAGAGCCAATCTTTACTACTTGATATCTATTGGATAAATATGAAGCAAAAATTTTCAATGCAGATCCGGAAATATAAATATCTCACAAACGAATCCACCGATTCTGACCGGACTGGCGGCGATCGATGTGATTTTTTTAAGGTTAAAAGCTGATTAGTTTTTGGAATCAATCGATAAAACCGTTTCAAAGTTATTCCAAAAAAACAGTTTTTCAAAATTTTTATTTTTGGGATTTCTCAAAATCTAACGGTCCGAATCAATTAAAATTCATAGGAAACGTAAGTTTGAAGAAACACTTTGGAAATCCGCCTAGTTCATTTCAATCGGTCAAGCCGTTCAAAAGTTATAAGAGGTTTACATAAATCCACACACGCAGACACACATATACATACAGAAATACAGACACCATCAAAAAATTGTCAGGGTGGCTTCATGTGACCTCAAAACGGCAAGATTTGATGACAAAACTGATTTTTTTAAAAATGGGGTAAAAACAATAACTTTCCGATTTTTGAAAGTTTTCAATTAATCTTAGAGGGAAGTTAAAAATATCTCCCAGTTTTTCGTATAAAATATGCCTGGCATTACTCTCTATCTGTGCGTC